AGTATATAGATAATGTTTTGGATCATATTGGCCTTACTCTTAGCTTTTGTGGCGGGTGTTTCTTCTTTTTGTTGTTTTTTATGGAGGTTGGCAAACAACAATTACCGCCACCAACTGAAAAACCCTGTTTATCAAATTATTCTTTTTAATATATATAATAAAGAATAACCCTCTTATTTAGAGTCCATCTGTAAAAGGTCTTCTAAATAATAATTGTTAAATTTCAGATCAGGTCTGCTGTCTGAATAATTGTGTTTAAATTAATATAACGGTTGCTGATCTAAAATCAGAGCAAACTAAACTTCTTAATGGAACGATTTCTTCAATCCATTGTAAGGCCAATATGATCCAAAACCTTTCTCCTTTGTAGGCTGAATTCCATCACTGATTCTTTTACCCGATTTAAAAATAAATTCTGGAACTAAAACAAAACACCATTCCTAATATTGGAATATTTTGAAGCATCCATAAAAAATTTAACATATCCATAATATTTTTTATCTATATATTGTTGAACCATACTTGAACCTGAAATATCCTCCTTATTTTTCTTTTAAAACAGCAAATTTAAATCCATGTCAATAGCAGGTAAAAGAGATGGATGAGGCAATGATCTAATAACTGTTTTACTGAAGTTTATTTGAGATAATTCAAGATATTTTATAGTACCATCTTAGTAATGTTGACAAAATAACTGTAAGAGTTGTTTGATTTTCCTGATTGTGTTTTTATTTTTATTTTTTCATTTAACCCGGTGTAGTATTTGGAACGAATGCTTACGTATTAATGAACTGTAAAACATATGAACCTGAAAGGGAGAAATTGAGAAGAGTAGTTGAAATGACAGGCCAAGAATGGAGTCTTAAAGGATTATTGGGAAATAAAGGAAATATAAAGGATATTTATAGATTAAGGAAAGCATTAATTAGTTATCTGCAGAATACAAAATAAAAAAATAGAATTTAATAGATGTAAAACAATGTTGCTACACACTCATGAACAGTAGGTGGCGGTATGCACCTTAAAGTTGCTTGCGATCCGCCATGATAAAAAAGAAGAAGAAGAAGGAACGAATGCTTTCATTGGATGAAAAGAAGCTGAGTGTGATTGGCTGATGGTATGGTTCATTTACATACATTGCTGAAGTTGCGAGCGCAGAGAGTCGAGCTTGCCATAGCCGAGCGCACAGCTGGTGTTGAGCGCGGAGAGAGAGCAGGTCGAGCGCGAGCAGAGACGGATTCGAGCACGCGCAGAGATGAAACTGAGCGCGAGAACAGTGTGTGTTGAGAGGGTTTTACAGAGTTGAGCGCGCGCCAGACCGGCTTTGCGCGTGCGCTTGTTGTCTCACTGCGCGCTCGGATTGGTTCCTGCGCGCTCAAACCGATGGCACAAATATCTCTCCATACCACTCTGGCTGTACATACATGACCAAACAGGCTCTGTGTGACATTTAAAGTTGCAACCTGATCATACTTTTGGATATACTGACATTAAAATGTAAATCTATCTGTTTGTAATTGGTATTCAGAAAAATAAGGAGTAAAAAGTAGAATCAGGGGAAATAATCTGTTTGTTTAACATCCAGATATCAATCCCATCTTTTGTTTGCAACTTATTTTAATTTTCAAGCTTGTTATTAACCAAATAAGGTAATTTATAGACAGTTCAATTTATAAACATTTCGAAAATATAGACTGTTTACATTTCAAATTGATTGTCAACTATAATAGCTTTGTTTTATGGAGCCTCAAAATGTTTTCTTGTTGTATTGTGTGCTGCTCCAAAGCAGAATGCAGGAAAGGGATCTACTGTTGAACTTTAGCCACACCCACCACCTGTTGATAATGTGATTTACATACGTTTACTGCTAGTGATAGACATGATGCATCAAAGAAGGAGAGGAAAAAGAGGAAGGTCAAGAATCTTTGAAAGAGTGATGGACTTTGAATTAAGACAGGATCTGCCAGAAGACCGAAAAACAAGATCAAGGTTGGTGTAAGAGAAAAGAATGGCGACAGATGACTTGTTGTAGTGACCTTTGAAAGAGAAAAGCTGTATAAAATGAATAAGATTAGGGTGATTCAAATAGATGACTAATAACAGTAATATATAACATAATTAAAAATGTAATTATTTCAGGAAACAGTTTAAAAAAAGTGAAACCCCTGTAGATATATTACGTACATTTATATTTATATGTTTCTTTGTTCAGTTTTTGTCAATGATAATGACATACAGGTAATGGAAACGTAATATTCAGGAAATTGCATTATTAATTTAATTCAATTCAGTTTATTTTTATAGCGCCAATTCATAACACGTCATCTCAATGCACTTTACAGTTCACAAGATCGTACAGTCAAATTGATTCAAAGTTTTCTATCTAAAGAAAACCAGTTGATTCCAATCCCTCACACTAAGAATGCTTGTAGCAGCAGTGGAGAAGAAAAACTCCCTTTTAACAGGAAGAAACCTCCAGCAAAACCAGGCGAAGTGTGAGCGGCCATCTGCTGAGGCCGACTGGGGTTTAAGGAGACAGAAGCAGAGATACAAAAAGCAGTTGTAAAAGCCAGGCAGACGAGCTCCGAGCCAACTCCCATGTCAGAGGATGTTTTCTGCATGGAGTCTTTCTACATGTTCTCCCTGTGCATTTGTGGATTTGAAGATGGATGAATAGAGGTCTTTGCACAGCCTTTTTTTGCAATGATCTTCTGGCTGCCAGTCAGACTTTTGGTTGTTTGGAACATAACCATAACTGTTTACATTTTCTTACTGTGTTATTTAAAACTCCAAAATTAAACTTAAAATGCAGTCATATATGTTTTTTTTTTCATGTAATTACTGAATTTCCTTTTTTATTAATAATCCGATTTGCGGGGATCAGAGGGGTAGCCAGAACATTTTTATAAGGATGGCAATAAGCAATGTACACTGAGGGGTGGCCAAAAGTAGATAGGCACCAAAACCTCACGGTCAATCTACACTGTTCCAACAGGAGAATTAATGAGCAAAACATCCATATTTTCTAAATAAAGTCAAACTATACTTTCACACAGCCTTTGCCAATAAATAGACGAATATATTAAAACATCCGTGCTTTCTCGATAAAAGGTATATAGTGGATAAAATTCTTTCAGGTTTGAGTTTTGGGTGAACATCTTTTCCATCGTCATTACTTACCTGCTTTTATCAGTAATCGTTCTGCATAAAATTGACATTTAGAATTACTAATATCTACATAAATTGATTCATAAGTTTTCATTAAAATAGCTATTTATCTATGATTTCACTGAAGACTCCTAGATGACTTGCAGAGACACATAATTTTATCTTTACCCCATATAACACAAAATCTGTTTCTGCTTGAATTCTGTGCTTATCATCTTTAATGTTAGTATATTGATGTGCATAATTAACCACTTTGTTTTTGTTGTCAAGTAATTGTTAATATATGAACATTTTAAATGTTTTAAATATTCCACTCGAGAGTATTGCTGTTGCCACCATCTGTATAGGGAAATAAATTGGTAGTGGTGGCCAATGATTGGCTAAGGGTGGCCATGGCCACCCCTGGCCCCCCATCTAGCTCCGCCCCTGGCGGGGATCAACTCAACAAAACCAATTAGCTGAGCTAATGCATAAAAGTCAACGTTTAATTTAGCAAACAGTGGAGATAAGACCCTCCTTTGCTCCGCAGTCACACCTGAGTGTGAGCTGGCTGAACCAGCCCTCCATTCACCAGCTGAGCTCCGTCTGTCTCTGCCAGTGGCGCTTCTAGACCAAATGTTCCAGGGGGCCAGCATGATTTCATGGGGGCCCAAGCATGTAATAAAAATCAGGGCAAGGGATTCAAGCATTTTAATATAGCTGCACAAAGTGAAACTTCTATTTAATTAGGTTTAATTATATTTATTTTTGTATTAGGTCAATATACATTCTTAATTCAGGAAATTTACACATTTATGACTTAAAGCTACAGTGTGTAATAATTACAGGGATATACAGTCAGAAATGTAATATATTATACATAACTATGTTATTTATCATCATCTACGAGCTCAGCCTCTTAACCTTAATATTTGCGTTGCCTTAGAATTCGTTATTTATAATTACATAGGAGCGGGTCTCGCAGCCATGGAGGCAGACATCTTTGCGCTACGGCAGCGCAGAGCCAACAAACTAGCGATTGCGAGATCGGCCATTATGCTCGAAAGTAACTATGGCAAGTTGAGAGAGATGAACTGAGACGGTACTGAACACACAGACTAATGAAATACTATCTGTAAAATTATCTATGTAAACAAACCTCATCACTTGAGAAGGTAGGTGATGCGGACGTCGTGGAAGACATTTTGTCCCGTAACGCTTGCCGTACTGTTGGGTGGGAGAAGCGGTGGGGGGGAGATGTTCATGTTGCTGCGGTCTGCAGTCTGGACGTTAGATGTCGCTGAAAATTACACACTGTAGCTTTAATTTAAGTTTCAAAAATTACTGTTTTCTAAAAATCTGATTTAGAACTCATAAAAAACTGATAAATTTAGCCATAACATTAGAGCAATTTGTTTTGAAAAAAAAAAAAAAAATTTAGCAGATGGAAACTGGAATCCTATCTCAATACCACTGAAGCTATCGCCTTATTGTTTTTAGATAATTTGTAAAACAGAATTTGTAAAGAAAAAAATTAAATAGATCTAAAGGACCTATCAGTAACCATGCCTATTCCAGCGCATATTATTGTTAGAATTTCTTTGAGTATTATGTCTTCTGTATAAGGGCCATAACAGGACATGATCTACAGGGGCACTGGCCCCCGCTGGCCCCTGTCTAGAACCGCCCATGGTCGCTGCTGTCACAATTATCTCCAGAGTCAAAATGAAAGGATCTTAAAGACATAATAATGTGCGCAGGAGCCATCTGTCAGCCCAGCGGGCCCCTTTCTGCTGCAGCAGCAGCAGCTGGGGCCGTTCGCTCTGCTCTGCTCTGCCATGCAGTGTGGCCCTTTAAGAAACTGCCATGTTCTCCCTTCATGATGCGTCAACATAAAAAGCGGATGATGCTGTTATGTAAAACATGCCAAAGTCAGCCGGAGTTTGCAGGATCTGCGCTCAGGGCCTCGATCGCTTTTTAAACTCATCTTCTCCGGTTTAAAGACTCTAGGGAGGATTTTATTTTATTTTTTTCCCCACAGCGTCGCGGCTTGGAGTTTGGATTGAGGAAGGAAATAAAGCAGGCTGCCTGAGATCAGATCAACATGAGTCGCCCTGCGCTCGCTTTTCCTCCTTCATTCGTGGGAAGCTCATACACCTGACGCATCTCTGCACCTTTTCCCAGAGGAACCGATCCGGGCTTCTTTCTAAAGGATCAACCCGCTCTGCCTCTGCTTGTTCCGGGGCTGATTTTACTCTGCGAAACGGTAAGAAAACAACAACAACTCTTTATCTGTAAAACTGAAAGTGCCGAGGAGGGAGGGGGGGCGATCAGACAGCTGGATCATAAGAAGAATAACGCGCGACATCAAGCCGCCAGTGTTTATTAAATTATGTCAAACTTTCAGAGCGCTCCAGGAGGGGGGGGTCTCCTCCGCAGGTTTGTCGCCTGATCTGTGGGCAGAGCCTCGGCTTACCCTTCAGCTTATGACCGCTGAAAATGTCACAGCAGCTCCAGCTGGAGTTATTTACCAGCTTCTGTCTGTCCAACTTTAATTGAAAACTGCTTTTGATAAACATTTAGTTTCAGTTCTGATTTGATGCAGTTTAATCACCTGACACTTTATTTAGTTTACTTTTTTCAGATGTGGTTGAAATGTTTAGTGATTAAAACCTATTATCTGTTGCAGGTTTGAGCATTTTTATTTAGATATGTTTGCTGAAGTTTTTGTCGATGATAATGACATACAGATAATGGAAACTTAATATTCATGAAATCACATTATTAATTCAATTCAATTCACTTTATTTAAATAGCGCCAATTCACAGCACATGTCATCTCAATGCACTTTACAGTTCAACCAGATCATACAGTCAAATTGATTCAAAGTTTTCTATCTAAGGAAAACCAGTTGATTGCAATCCCTCACACTAAGAATGCTTTGTAGTGACAGTGGAGAGGAAAAACTCCCTTTTAACAGGAAGAAACCTCCAGCAGAACCAGGCAAAGTGAGGGCAGACATCTTCCAGTGTACCCATGTTTGTAATGCCCCATCAAGGCCCTTCTCACTGTCGTCATTCCTACATGTCCCACCCCAGAAAACATTTCTGGCCAGTCAATGGTCCGACCCGCTAGTTTTATGAGACAGACGTATTAGCCATGGTATTAGCGGGAGTCTTTCAAGATGGAATTGTTGTAAGACTGTAAACCCAGCTTGCAGAGCAAGGTTAGTCATAAAATATTATTGTCGGAAGAAGAAACAAAGAACCACTGTTCAACCCCTTCAATGTGTAGTTATATTATGCAAAACAATAACTGATTCATTTAGACAGTATAGTTGTATAAGTGTATTTTTCTTTTTATTAGCATGAAATTAACAAACATTCTATCTTCTGTAATTTATTATGAGAATATGGATGTTTTCCTTGTTTGTGTTCCTGTTGGAACTATCTGATGTGTGTAATTAGCCCTAAACTGCGTCTGGCTCCTATCAGAATGTCCCTCAGTTTGCATTGACTCAGATGCAATCCCTCAAAGTATATACACCAGGTCAAAAGGTGAATCATGAATACATGAAATGGTAATCTAATTACTAAACTCTGCTTTACTTGTGTGGCACTTTAAGATGCTTTATAATTGGTCAAAGGGCTGTGCACACCCTAAAGATCTAATATGCCCAAAACACAAAAGGAAAAGCAGTAAATCAAAAGCACAATAAAGGGTAAGATAAAGAGCAAATGCAAACAAATGATAAAATTACCAAACCGCTCCAACTGGGTTAGAAGCCAAAGTGTAAAAAATTAGTCTATTTATTTTATTCAAGGTATTGTTTCTCTCTCTGAGTCACTCAACACGGCAGTTGAAAGTATTTATTTACATGTAAGAAAAAAAAACATTTGGTGTTATATTTCTTTTCCCTGTATAACATGAAATCAAATTAAACTTTTCCTGATTTAGACCAGTTAGAGCTAACAAAATTATTTAGTACAAGATCTTTTATAGATTTTATTCATGGCTGTCTTTGAATTCAGATGTTTACCAATGATTGATCTGGTTTCAAACAATTTGAGAGAACCAGGTCAGTGATAATGATACCATTGTTTTGTAAGCTTCACAACATTTGAATTAACTGGAGGCAAACCTGTTGGTGTGATTTAAGGAAGTATCTCAAACACAACTCCTCTTTGTGTGACATTATGGAAAAATAAAGACATCGACACATGTTTAAAAAAAAATCCCTCTGCTACTGTTCCGTTATTGTGCATAATAGATTCATCATCTTTAGGTAACAAAAACAGGAATTTCTTCAAGTGAATTAATGTCAGCTGTGGAAAAAAAAAAGGATTTGTGTCTTTATTTTTTCTACGCAGTGTATGCAAACCTTTCATTTATAAATAGAGCATGTCTTCAGGAGTACAAGGGCTGTATTCATTATATTGGTATTAAATGAAAGCTCAGAACCATGAGGTTTCTAAAGAAGTGTTATAACCTAGATAAGTGTTGAAGTGTCTTGGTAAATATTCACCAAGAACACTGGGGAACATTAGAGTTTTTAAACATCACTCTAAATGAAAACCCCCTTTGATGCCAATGATATTTACACATTTTTATTTGAAGTAAGATGAGTAATCTCATACAGAGTAATGGCTCATACCAAGATGTTAAATATAGAAATGTGTCAAGGTAGAACCAACAAAAGGATGTTTGGTCAATATATGTGTCAGTTGACCTTTAATAGATCTATTTAGTATCATCGGTTATATTTAACCATGCAATATAACTGGTTTTCACTCATGTTAAAGATTAATTTAGACCTCTAATTTTGTAATTTGCATAAAGTATTAGATTTACTGAACGACTGCATCTATATTCAAACAGATTTTTCAGTATAACTAATTACTGTAAAAGTATCTAATTTTTACCCAAACAAACAGACCTTTATGATTCTTTCTTTTTTTTTTTCAAAATAATGCAGAGTCATAATGGAAGAGCTGAAATACAACTAGAGTTCAGGGCTTGGCTAAAGCCACTAAAAGTTAAAACGTGCTTTATGATTTCAAAAGTTTTTGGCCGCCGTTCTGTTTATATGGGACAATGATGAAACAATCCTCTTCTAATTAGCAGACTCTCTACTTTACTAAACACCTTTTACATGTGGTTTGCTTAAAGTGTTAAAATAAAAGAGGCACCGAACTGTAAATGTTTTTTTTTACTGTTTTTATGACTTGTCCATTTAATTGCTTGGGATTTGAAGTGTGGTTAGAATGTTTATGGCGGCTTTTAGGCGAGTGATGATGCGTTCCAAAATGATTGGCAGTGTGGATATGGGATACTCAAACTGTAACGTTTTTAGTATTAATTTAAAATAGAAAACACCTTAAAGCTTTTATCAGGGTTTGTTTTTTTTTCCTTTAGGGAGCTGGTTTCAAAGGTAAGAAACATAGAAAATAAATTTTGGTCTGTTCTGTTTCTGGGAACAACGATGATCTGAGTGGTCTGTTTGGTTCAAGCTCTGAAATTGATTAAGTCACTAGAACATTCAGTGCCTTTATGAGCAATAACAGGATTTTATAATGTATTTGTTTAATAAACAGTGAGCTATTGCAGTAATTTTTGGATCGTGATTTGATCTCTCGGGGTCAGTAAGGACTCTAGCAGCAGCCTTTTGATGGCAGATATCCTCTATATTGCTTTGAGGAAAAACATTTTTTCTGTTAGGTCTGAATCCATTATCATTGTGCTTCTCTTGCATACTCTACGTTCTTCAGCCATATTGATTTATAATGTGGTTGCACGGCGGAGCAGTGGGTGTCACTTCTGCCTTGCAGCAAGAAAGTTCTGGGTTCCATTTTTGGTCCGTTGTCTTTCTGCATGGAGTTTGCATGTTTTCCCCATGTATGCGTCGGTTCTCGCCGAGTACTCCGGCTTCCTCCCACAGCCAAAACATGACTGTTAGGTTAAATGGCTTTTCTACATTGTTCTTAAGCGTAACTGTGTGTGTGTGCATGGTTGTGTGTCTTTGTGGGTCTCTGTATCCCTGCAACAGACTGCCGACCTGTGCAGGGTGTACCCTGCCCTTAGAGTGCCGGAGATGGGCACCAGCCCCACTCCCATGACAAGGACTAAGCAGGAGAAGATGTACAGGTTTATATTGTAGCAATTTAGGAAGTCTCATAATGAAAGTTTAGGAACACAGTCACCTGATGACTCAGAGATAAAAAGTTATGTCATCAGCATATCTAGTTATTCTAATTGATTTTTTTTCTAGAGTGAGTTTAAAGATTTTGAATAAATGTGACCCAAGAATGCCTTAAGGAACTTCCTAATCTAGTTGTTGTTTACGCATAATTACTGAAGGACTAATTAGTCACTCTGGTCTAACAAATACTTGGGGTTGCGGAGTATTGGCATGGGTGTTGCGATACGATACGTGTCACCATAGGCTACTTGGGTTATATGATTTTATCATGGTATTGCAATATAAGTATTGTAATCTTTTCCTAGGCTATCAGGTTAAATGTATCGATTAAAAAAAGCAAGTGTTTTATATGTCCATCAGAAGATATTGATTATTTAGTTCTTTTGGTATCCATGTTTGAGTCATACCACGTCTTCCACTGTGACTGCCTCAACTACAGGTACGGCGCGGCGCCGCACAGCAAAAGGGCTCCATGGCGCTATCTGCTAGAGTGGCTGTTCCCATTTTCCCTCACTGTTTTAGGTAAAATGTTTATTCTTTTCAAAGATTGATACTAGGAACTAAAATATCAATATTATATCGATCATCCGAAAGTTTCGATATAACAGCAAATCTGTTTATTTGTTTTTTCTTCACACCCCTACCAAATACCACTGGTTTAACACTATACCAGACACACTACGCAACTTTTTGACTCTGTCTCTTATAATATGTCGGTGAAGATTCTCAGTCATCCAGATCATAGTCGTCCCCAAAAAAAGGTTAAAAACAATCCACTGGACTTTGTTTCCAAGATTGAAGACATTTCGCTTCCCATCCAGGAAGCTTTTTCAATTCAAAATGTCAGGAATAGTGTTTAGTTCGAGGTTTTGAATATTCAGCCAGGCCAACAATCCCCTTTAATGAACCTCCTTTCAGACACTTAGACGGGTATGGGGCATTGCAGGCTAACAAAAGAAGCCAAACAACCCCTGTTCCAAAGGGGTGGACCTGTTCAAGTCCAGTGGTCTGTTTTTAACTTTTTTTGGAGAGTCTCTTAGAACGTTATAATACACCGTGTCAGATC